TTAATAAAACAAAAATCACTGACCGTACTAAACCGAACCACTCAATTTCAATTTGATTTCCCCGGTTTAACTTTTTTTCCTTTTTTTTCTGCACAAATGGAAAAAACCCTAGCCTTGACTAGACTCCTCAAGATAAACAAAAAACCTTAATGCTCCTCCGTCTCTCGGCTCGCTCTATTCGCCGCTACACAACATCTTCTCTCTTCCTCTCTCCCTCTCCTCAACCGTCTCGCTTCCCCTCCGCTTCGTCGTCGTTTTGCACCTCTCCATCAATGGCATCGGCTAGCCACAAAAAGAACGAGGAGTACCTCTCCGCCGTCATCCCCAAGCGTATCTCCCTCTTCGAGCAGATCCAAGCCATTCAGATCGAGAAGCTCAAGTCTCTCCCACACGATCCAATCAAGTAAAACATCAACGATTCTCGAGAGCTTATTTGCTTAATCTGAAAGTGAGATTGATTGTGTTTTTCTGTGTGTTTTTAGGGTTACGTTGCCTGATGGGAATGTGAAAGAAGGGAAGAGGTGGGAGACGACTCCAATGGATATCGCTGCTGAGATTTCGAAGGGTTTGGCTAACTCTGCGTTGATTTCAGCGGTTAATGATGAGCTTTGGGATATGAGTAGGCCGTTGGAAGGTGATTGTAAGCTTGAGTTGTTTAAGTTTGATAGTGATAAAGGGAGGGATACTCTTTGGCACTCTAGTGCTCACATTCTTGGTCAGGTAATAAGAGGGTTTTATAGTTTGGTGATTGAAAGTTTTGGACTTGGTGAATGATTTTGGTTTACTGTGGGTGTTGGTGTAGGCTATTGAGCAGGAGTATGGGTGTAAGCTTTGCATAGGACCGTGTACAACGAGAGGGGAGGTATGTTTTTGTTGGCTATGAGTAGAACAAGAAAGGAGGAAACTTTTGTTTGGTTCTTGCTTTTTTTGTTAATGGTGGCTATCATTGATGTTGGTTATGGATTGTTTATTGCAGGGTTTCTACTATGATGCATGTTATGATGACTTGACTCTGAATGACACTCACTTTCCTAACATCGAAGCAGGTGCTGTGAAAGCTGCGAAGGTATTGTTTCTTCGTTAGTCTGCTAAGGGGTTTTTTTTTTGTAAACACATTGCTTATTTTTGTCAAAACCGTTTACGTAAGTATCGAATGAATATCTCACCAAGTTTTTTTTTTTTTTTTTTAATTCACGTTCTCTTCTATTTACATCTCAGGAAGCGCAACCATTTGAAAGGATTGAAGTGACGAAAGATCAGGCAATTGAGATGTTTTCTGATAACAAGTTTAAGGTGTGTTCAAAGCTACATATTATTTATCATTTAATTTGTTATGTTTCTCTAACCCCACATTCATATCCTGTATGTCTTCTCCTCTTTTAATTTGTATTTGGACTCATACTTTAGCTGTTAATCATCTAGGTTGAAATCATCAAGGATTTACCCGCAGACAAGACCATTACTGTTTATAGATGTGGCCCTCTTGTTGACTTGTGTCGTGGACCGCACATACCAAACACTTCTTTTGTGAAAGCTTTCAAGTGTTTGAGGGTGAGTTACTTCTATATCTCTACTAAGATTGACATCTGTGCAGATTCTAGTTTTGTTTCTTGTGTTGATCAATATAGTTTTTTTCAGGCCTCATCAGCTTACTGGAGGGGAAAACAAGACCGTGAGAGTTTGCAGAGAGTTTATGGGATATCTTACCCAGATCAGAAACAGCTGAAGGTACGCTATTTTCTTAAAATATTGTGACTACTGCGTTGAGTTCTCAGAATGCATAATATCGATCGTCTTTGTCTTGGTTGTTGCAGAAATATCTTCAATTTCTAGAAGAAGCCAAAAAGTATGACCACAGGCTATTGGGCCAAAAGCAGGAACTATTCTTTAATCATGCACTCAGGTTTTTTTCAGTGCTACCCAACAGTGTTTTCCTCTTTATGTTTCACTATATTAATATGTATACACACTCATTGTGAGCTTCAGCCCGGGGAGTTGGTTCTTTCTTCCACTCGGTACCCGTGTGTATAACAAGCTGATGGACTTCATCAAGGAGCAATACTGGAAAAGGGGATACACAGAGGTTTTTTCTATGCTCTCATCTCATCTTTGGCATACTTGAAGAGTTAGGATCGCTAAATTAACCTTGCACCTGCAGGTCATAACGCCAAATATGTACAACATGAGTCTGTGGGAAACTTCTGGACATGCTGAAAATTACAAGGAGAATATGTTTACTTTTGGCGTAAGAGCCCCCTTAGCTCTGACAATTCAACATGCTTCTCCCTTGAAGCCCATGTTTGGCCTAGGTTATATTCTACACGTGAGTGACTTTTGCCAATGTTCCTTATGCAGATTGAGAACCAGGAGTTTGGGCTCAAACCTATGAACTGCCCTGGTCACTGCTTGATGTTCCAACACAGGGTTCGCTCTTACAGAGGTGCAATTCTGTTCGTATAGTGCGTTTTGATATCATAAAACACAGAGCTAGGAATGATATTAGTAGTAGAAGCAGATCTACGAATCTTACAAAAATAGATAAGAGAAGTTTTCAAGTCTATCATTTGTATATGCTTACATCTTTTACGACTTATATGGTCTGTAGAATTACCTATTAGACTGGCTGACTTTGGAGTGTTACACCGCAATGAGGCAAGTGGAGCCCTTAGTGGATTGACTCGTGTCAGACGGTTCCAGCAGGTATATTTATATCCTTGTTTACTTTGGGTTTTTATTACTTTTACATTTGTTTCTTAATACGATAATCTGGAACTTATTTCAGGATGATGCACACATATTCTGTACAGAAGATCAGGTATGTGATATACTTGTGTCTTTCAATCTTAGAGCTCCTTTTCATCCCATTTTGTTTTGGTTAATGTTATCTGTTTGCAGGTTACGGAAGAAGTGAAAGCTGTGTTGGAGTTCATTGACTATGCATACACAGTCTTTGGCTTTACCTATGAGCTAAAGCTTTCAACGGTACCATATAGGAAGCTTCTTCAAATTTAGTATAATTTGTTTGATTTGTTCTTTATTGCGCATTAATTACATGTAATTTTAAAATTTCAGAGGCCAGAAAAGTACCTTGGTAATTTGGAAACATGGGATAAAGCTGAAAATGCTCTCAAAGTAGCCCTAGATGCTTCTGGAAAGACATGGCAGGTATGAACTTACTGATGAATTGATACTCGAGTTTATTTATTCACTAGTCCGCATTATTCTAAAGTGTGTTGTTTTGGCAGTTGAACGAAGGAGATGGTGCATTTTATGGCCCAAAGATAGACATCACAGTCTCAGATGCACTGAATAGGAAATTCCAGTGTGCTACTTTACAGGTTACTGTCACAAACTCTTTTGCTTTCTTTTTCTTCTCTTACTGTAGTCTGTGCAGCAGTTGATTGTATGTTTCTTGTCGCCTCATGCAGCTTGATTTTCAACTACCTGAGCGCTTCAATCTGGAATACTCAGCTGACGATGAAGCGAAGAGGCCTAGACCTGTGATGATACATAGAGCCGTGTTGGGATCTGTGGAACGCATGTTTGCCATACTGTTGGAGCACTACAAGGGAAAATGGCCCTTCTGGTTAAGTCCTCGACAGGCCATAGTCTGCCCTATCTCGAAGAAGTCTGAGGAATATGCTTTACAGGTTACATTTGTGGCTACTGCATTCCTTAGTGAGCATTCTTGTCGACTTATCTGTATCTTCTAATCTTTGGCTTCTCTCTTGTCTCTCATACATTCAAACAGGTGAAGTCACAAATTCATGATGCCGGATTCTATGTTGATGCCGACATAACTGACAGAAAGATTGATAAGAAGGTAACAGTTGTAACGTTTAGTGTTCCAGTTTTGTGGTTGGCTGGTTTCCTGATATTTTTTTGTCTTGATTGGTGATTGTAGGTGCGAGAAGCTCAGCTAGCGCAGTACAACTACATACTAGTTGTTGGTGAAACTGAAGCTGCTACAGGACAGGTTAGTGATTAGGCTATTCTCTGGGTCTCTGAAGCATGAAGCTAATTTTGTTTTGTCTGAGCATCTTAAGACCACATTTTGTTTTGTAGGTGAGTGTACGGATTAGAGACAGTGCAGCCCACTCTGTGAAGAGCATTGAGGATTTGCTGAAAGAATTCAAGACCAAGACTGCAGACTATCAATGAGACGAGCAAGAATTTCAAGTTTGATTTTGTTCTGATGCATACTGTTTTTTAGTTTTGTTTTGCAAAGATTTAAGTAAGCCGGATTGACGCGTCTTACTTATCTTTTATCATTAAACCATATTCTGGAGTTTCATAACTTCTAAAGTTCCCTATTTTCTGCCTCAGGTGTTTTTGAAAACTTGTAGCAAATATGCTCAAGGTTAATACAGACAATTTCCAGACTCAGTCTATGAACCTAACAATAATGTTAGCAAATAGAATAATATAAGAAAACCTGTTGACCCAGTTAGAGATGACACTGTGTCTGAATGTGATTTTTACCTTCCAGCATGATCTCTAAGATTGAGTTGCATCTACCTAATCTTTGTGACCTAAGTAATAATAAGTCCGAATAACGATAATCATTACTAGAAGAGAGTTGAGTTAAAGTAGCGCCTGTAATAATTATAAAACAACGAGTCGTCTAGCTCTAAGACTTTCTGCTAGAATTGGCTGTAGTAACTCGTAAGGTAAGATCTTTTTCGATATAATAAGGTGTATGACATAAACCCAGTCCGTATCCCCAAGGTATACTCTAGCTTTCTATAAATAAATGCCTACACTTTTTTTCTTTTGTGGGTTTTGAGTTTGCCTAATCTTTGGATCTTAAGGCTTGTGCCTTGTATATAACACGTTTCTCTTGAAAATTGGTGCTATCTATCGGTCGAAAATCAGAATAAATGCGTAAAGTGCAAGAATCAATAGAAAAAACATTTACGAAGCTAAACTAAACTCACAAGCAATTGACTTATGTGTAAGTGCAAGAATCAATAGAAAAAGAATAACGAAGCATTAATCAATCAAAACATAAGCGAACGTAACCAGTCAAAAAGAGGATGTTGTGGCAGTGATCTCCATCTAAATTTAACACGAAACAAAAGTTGAGAAGATACTGAAGCCCTAGGCATGGATTTTAACTCCTGCTTCAACTCCCATTTCGTTTCATCACTGCAGTCATCGCTATATTTCATGCAGATTCCTGCTCTCTTCAAACACTTGGAATTTGCAAGTATATACGCCAAGAGATTCTTCTCGTCTCTTGTCCCTCCATAATTTACCCATTCCAAAATCTCTAGTTGAGACGACATGCACTTTGGAACATGACTCCAACTCCAAGGAGGAAGATCATCAAATTCCTCTATCTTCCTCTGAGGAAACAACAAAAAGTATATTATGAATTAAAGCAGAATAAAATCAAAACCTGCTTAAGGGAGGGAGTTAGGAAGGTACTTACAGTGTTGATCATAAGAACTTTAAGTTTAGGAGCGTTGTCAAGCAACAACATAATTGATTCCGCCCAATATTCTGCCCATGGAGTTAGCTTACACTCTATCAGTTGAGAGTAGTTGACGCCACTACAAAATATTTCCTAAAAAAAAATCAACGTAAGTAGATGCATCATTATTACCACAAAATTTGGAAAATGGATAACAATGTAACTTACCGTTTCATCTATCCAACTCAAATTGAGAAACATGACAGAAGAAAGACATGTCAATAATTTTTCATTATGGCAAGTTCCAACGTCTACTATGGCCTCAATAAGGCTAGGAATCTTGCCCTCTATCAAGCAAACGTCTTCAGCATAATCAATGACGTTAAGAAACTTCAACTGCGGGGAATCTATAATCAAAGATCCACTACCACTACCACATACTTCATCATCCTGATTTTGATTAACATAATTTAATCTATGTAAAGACGGCACTTTCACACTGAACTCAATCACATTGTCATTCTTAGCTCGGCGCACACCCAAAGCCTTGAGAACAGGACAACCTGATAAAAGCTTAACAAGTGAATCCTCGTCTTTATACACCACATCGTAAAGACCTAGCTTTGTAAGCGACGGGAGGAAAACTTCTGGAAGATTCTCTATGAGAATCTTGTTTGAGAGAATCAATTTCTTAAGCGTTTTACAAGTGTAAAGTTCATTAGGCAAGCTTATATGCTTTCCTAACCACTTCATATTGAAGTCTAGCACTCGAATGTAGCGTTCGACAGCATTTAAAATCAAGTTTCCGACATCTGCGTCATCGGGACATCTTGAACCTAGTTTAACTTCTAGGTGTTCCAGTAGTCTAGGAGCCTTGTGGAGTTGTAATGAGTAGTGTTCAAGAAACCACCAGAAGCTTCTATTGTTTGTATGCTTGGTATCCTTGCAAACGAGTTTTGGCATTAACGTCCATATATAACGCCATGGTTTTGACAAAACCGTTGTGGCTACTGCATCTTTAACCGGAAGAAGCAACAATATTTTCACAAGCAAATCTTCGGGTAAAGCACTAATCCTGTCTTCGCAATCTTTCTCTTCAGCTATGTTAGGCATGTTTAAGAACTTTAGCAATAGAGATCACTAGATCTTTTGGTATCGATTTTGTTTTTGTTTTGGGATTGCTAAGAAGCCTCACGCTAGCATACTATTTATGCTCATTAGAAAAGACGTTTCTCCTTATTAACGTAGGATTTAGGAATACGCCTTTCACACTATCTAATTTAATTCTATAAAATAAGGTTTCTCTCGTTATCCTTAAGCCACATCATTAAATAAAGTTAAGAGCGAGCAACACATGTACTTATCTTAATGAATTTCGTTTGGGTTTTGTTTGAATGGGCTTTCGCTATCGAGATGAGTTCTTTTTAATTATATAAAGTAAGGTTTTTCTCATTATCCTTACGCCATGTCATTAAATAAGGTTAAGAACGAGCGACACGTGTATTTATCTTAATAAATTTCTTTTGGGTTTTGTTTGAATGGTCTTTCGCTATTGAGATGGGTTCTTTTGGGTAAATCAATTACCAAGCCCGTACAAAGAGTTGTCATTTATGGGAAAGATGTTAGAAGCAATCGAAACGTCAATTAGGGTTCATGTACTTCATCGATCTCTGATGTTCTGCAACACAATAGAGTTTCTTGATGTCGAGTTAGACTAATCGTCATATAGAATCTCTGTATGTGGCTTCCATGGCGTTGTTTCGTCTATGGTTCTAAAAAATCTGACAGGTCAGGATGGTTTCATTCATAGCTTTAAACATACGATTTAAATCCATCGCCCGAATTCAGGCACAATCTGTCGAGAGTTATCCCTCTTCAAGGCGGTGTATCTACACCTATAAAAAGGTTAGCCTTCTTCCTTGAACATCACCTAAATCGGAAGAAACACCAAAGTTAAGTTATTGTCTGTATAATGACTAACTTCTTCTTGCTGATTTGAAGTTCGGCTGCTGCTCTGCCATTGCTTCTGGTAAGAAGTTGACGGATATGATCTCGGCCGACCCAACCTCGATTCCTACACACTAATGCAGTGATCTTTCTTTCGGATCTGAAGAACGAATGATGCTCCTCCACCATTCAAGTCCGATTGCTCCGCTCATAAACATCCGGTTGCTCCACTTCATGGGAGTGGATATGCTTCTACTAGCTTCTCAGGTTACTTTTAAAACTCTGCTTTAGTTCATAATTTTTTTTTAAAAAAAAAAACTGAATCTTTTTGTAACTACTCCCTCGTGTTGAACCCTAATTAGCAAAACAAAAATTTCTTGATGATGTTATTGAAAATTTGCGTCATGTTGAATCATTTTACCAGGTTTTCCAGATTATTTATTTGTTTGTTGATTGTATCATTTAACCAAATTTTCTAGATTATTTATTGGTTTGTTGATTGTTCTATCTAATTCACATGTCTAATCAAGTATCAAGGATGGAAAACTACAGGAATATCAGTTGACCACTTACAACTGTGAAAGTTTAAGATTGTAGCGTTAGTACGTGGCAATATTTTCCTAATAAAAATTTCTTCATACTGTATGGCATAGGCTGAAGAAGCTACACACGAGTAAATGATGAAGAGTGCGAGGCAGAGGAGTGGAAGTTGGTGGGTCAAAATTTATCTCCAGTTATGTGTTGTTTAGACGTCTTGCTTTAGTAACACCGAACTTGGTAATTATGACATGTTTTTGTAGAAAAAAGAAGAAAAAGCTCGACAAGTCTAAACAGCTGCCGAGTTTGAAAAGCGGAAAAGGGGTTGTACGCTGACGGTACTGTAGAGGAGCTGCATGGTGGAAATAGCGGTTTGCCTTCAGAAATTGTTGAAATAAAGCAAACGATTGCGAATGATTTTTAACATATATTAAAACACATGAAGTCTCAAGAAAGATGATTTTAGTTTCATTTCTCATGTTTTAAGTAAACACACCTTCTGGCGAGTTATGGCCGTATAACAAAAAGAAGGAAAGCAATCTTTAGTGGCTGTTTCTCTAGAATTTGAGATCAACACGAAAATATCTATATGTGAGTCCAAGGAAAAATAAGCCAGAAGAAAAATAGTGGGACTACCGAAGCAGCTGCAGCAAGCAACTCAAAGGCTGATGAAGCAAATTCATTCACTATCATAGTGAAGCAAAAATATTCACTGAAGCACTACAAAATCTCAAGAAGAAACAGAGCAGGCAAAGGCTGCGGCAAGCACAATGCAAAACCTTTTTATTTGCAGCTTAGGAATAAACTAAGGCTGCTAAAGTCTCAGAGAAGTTGGCATTAGCTGCCATATGCTTGACCAGCATGCTCATGATGCTGAAGAAGAAGCCAACCCAAAGGTTGCATCAGTTGTTATGAGATCGATGAAGCTAGAGAAAGAGATAAGGTAAACTTGGAGAAGAAGAAGCAAAAAACACTTGCGGAAGCATCTGAGAAGGCCAAAGAAGAAGAATTAGGCGTAGAACAAGAGTTGAGAAAATAGAAAGAAGAATATAAAGTGAAGAAAGATCTGTGATAATGGAGTGAGCATAGAGAACATCTATAGAAGAAGAATACAAGGGTAAAAGGCTAAGAAACTGAGTAATGGAACTGAACAAATCCAATCCCACAAGCAAATCCTAGAAAAATGTCACATAAGTTAGTCTGATGTGAAGAAGTTGATTTCGTAAGATTTTTTTAATAAATGTAAAAGTCTACACTATAAAACAAGAGTTGAGTCATCCCGGTTTCTGATACTTAATGACCAGCAGTAACTTGATTTATTAATGGCATTTTATTTCAACAGCTGATCCAATAGAACCGGGTTTACTAAGGTAACGATTACCAAAAGAGCAATCTTAAAGTTCATCCAAAATTAAAATATGGTTTTAAGAAACATTGATAGGTGATAATTTAATAAACTATAATTTTGGTTAGTAGCAATATTGTATCTCATACATGAAATTAGTTTGTACCAATTTTAGATCAAATTACCTTTTTTCCATAGTATTGCATGATTCAATAGTACAATACCTTTTATAAAGAAAATATACTTTATTTGTGTTATTGAATTGCTTCTGAAATTCAAATAGTACTTACCAGCCCAAGTAAAATATACATATTTTTGAATCTAACATACTCATTTTAATTAGTACTTACAAATCCAAAGGTTTTTCCTCGGATTACCTTCAGATTTGAGACTTTGTATTTTAACAAATAAAAATATAAAAATTTATTCAAATTCATTATGAAATCAAATCTATTAATAAATCTGTATGATTGAATAGCAAATGGAATTTGAAGTCCTTCAGATCTATTTATAATTTTTCAAATATTGCCTTATAAATAAACTTGATAGTATGATTAATTACATAATATATATGTAAATATAACCAAAAAAATCACACAAAAGAAACAAAGAAATTAAAGACCAAGAAATTTACTTCTGTAGTCAACTATTAAATGTAATTAATTATGCAACAATACATAAAATAACCATAATAACCGAGTATAACATAGGAATTATAACATAAATACCAAAAAAACAATAACAATTGTTAATAATAGGAATTACTAAATATTGTACAAAACAACTATAATAACTTCGAATGAGTTCCTCTAAATTAAAACCTCATTCTTCACTATTTTATAAATCCTCACAACAAAAAGATACAATGGTATTTGAAAACTCGATTCACAACAAAAAGATACAATGGTATTTGAAAACTCAATCTCATTCTCTTTTGATCAAACTCTATTGATTTGTGTATTTTATATTGTTATAATACTTAAAACATTATAAAATCTTACAATTCTGAATTAAAACAACAACAATACTACGAATTTAGTTATATAATTGAAATTTGATGTAGAAAACATAATCATACTTACACTCAACTTAACATAAAAAAAAAATTCACACAAAATTATGTTTCTATAAAAATGGAACCTTCAAATCTTGTGCGTAGCGCAGGCCTGCCCTAGTATATTTATAGTCGTGGGAGAAAACCTTTCAAGCTCCTTATTAGCTTAGGAATACGTTTTTCCAACAAATCCAAGGAATACGTCTGCGAGAATTGGCTGACGTATTGTATTATCTGATTCAGAAAAAAATCTTATATAATAAAGTTAGTTTTTTTTAATAGGGGTGAAAAATTCCATGTGTCAACTCATTAAAGTTTAAGAAATTATTTGTTAGACTTTAGAAAAAATTATATTATTTTAGAAAAATATATTATTGGTAAAAGGCATATTTGTTTTGGAATTTTATTGTTGTAGATTGCGTTTAAACGTTCGGATTATAGAGATCCTTTAATATTATAGTTTTGTTCGTCATCTTCGTTTGATATCCCAAGATCAGCTGACTAGGGTTATAGATATCAGAATAAATGATCAACTCTCTGTAACGTATCGACCCACGCTTGATTCACACCTTCTTTCCTCATATTTTATAAGTGATTAACCCACTCTGGATCATTGAAACCATCTTATCGCATCCCGAAAATAACCATGTAGGTGTGAGTATATGTATCTCTTTTGCAGACATGAACAACACAGCTTCAACGAGCATGAGAAGAAAAGTTTGTTCAACTTTCCGATTCTACAATGGTGATTTATTCCATCATCCTTGCCGATTTGAAAGTCGGGCGCTGCTCCAACACCACCGAGGTTCACTTGCTGAGGTTTTGGGAGGCCAGAAATGTGAGGGAAGGCGGTGAGCTCATGAGTCTAGATATGCTCCTCATCGACGAGAATGTAAGCATCTCCTTTCCAATTAACGTTGTTGACGATTGGTTCCATTATGATTGTCTAAAAAAAATAATTTGTCCTTTCTAACAATCCACGGTTATTCAAGGTTCTGTTAATGCGAACCGTCAATTCATGTTCAGGCATCGTCTCAGCAAAGGGTCAGTCTTCAAGTTGAGGGGTTCGATGTAGCGCGCAGCAACCCCAGTTTACGGATGTTGGATGCCCCTTTCTCCATTTGGTTCAATAATGGAACCTGTTTAGTTAAGAAAACAACATATATTAGGCCCATACCTACTGAACTTTTCAGATTTCTAACATGGTCTGAACTATAAATAAAAGTTATA